AGCATCACACTTGATACAGGTACAACTGATTTACAACTGGTGTCACCAAGTGGAGCACAGGACCTGGTACCTGCCATGGCGCACACCGAGGTGGGCCAAGAGAAAAGGGGGGAGGGGGGTGGATGCACAAACTGACGGACACCCAGGCTGGGACGTGCCGCCCAGCAGCCCGTCCCAAAACTGCAGAATAATAGTTTCCCCGGGACTCAGCCCCGAGGTTGTAGTGCGAACGCATCTTCAGCAGAGCCACCACTACCCACTTGCAAACCACTGGCTCCCACGGGTGCACAGAAAATATGCTGTGTTTGGGGGGGGGGGTGGGGCGGGGATGGCTGGGAAGTGGAGGATGCTCTTTTCATGAAGGGCCATTTGTGGATGCTGTAGGAGCTGGGGGCTCAGGCAGGATGAACCCTCGCCAGGGAGCGAGCAGAGAGGAAGAAATGTGGCTTCTCAGCACAGAGGATGGAGTTATTCAGCCTCACTGCGTGTCTCAGGACTGCTTGTTAAAGGCGTGTAGTGTGATCAGAGATCCTTCGGAGATCTTTGACTGGGCAAGTTTCTTCTAAACTAAGTCACAGTATGGAAAAGCGGAGGCAAAAATAAACTAGTATCAAAAACAGAAAAAAGCAACTCTTACAAACCAATCCCAGATCTTGACTCAGTGCTGTTTCTCGTATATAGTGCTATACAATTTAGTCGCGAGTTGTCTTTTTTCTCGCAGGCAGTGGAAATCTTCATAGTAAAAAAAAAAAACCTAAGACGGCCAGCTTTCCAAAAAATCCCTTAGTGTTCATTAGGCTATGAACAATTTGGCGTTCACTACAACATGAACACTCAAACCAATTGCACATCCAGAACTCCGGCACCTCTCTTTGTTTGTTCGGCTTTTGTATTTTGTTGGGTTTTGTGGTTTTTTTCTTTTTTCTTTCTTTCTCATTGTCGTTTTTGACTTAGTTGACCACCACCCCTTTCATCCAAGTGTCACAAGTTGAAAAGACCACAGAGTAAGACTTTACCAGTCGGGCAAGAAAGTCTCTCCCTACATTCTACTGTCTGATGAGATTTGAGAGCAGCAGGTAGTTGCTGTCAGCAGTCATTTGTTGAAAAAAAAAATAAAAATAAACAATTTAAAATAAAATACAACACCCATCCGATTTCTCAAAGGTCTACACCATGTTGTGATGGTTATTCCGGTCAATGATGTCCACAGGTGAAAGAATCTCCTTCCGGATGGGCGGTGGAGGCAGGCAAGTCTTTATCTTGGGCTTGAAGAGATCTGACACATAAAACACCTGTAGGAACAAGTGGAAAAGGCACCCTTAGTCACACTGGGTGATGCTTTGTTCAAAAATTTGGTTCACAGAATATATACATATCTTTAAAGCTGCAAAAATAGCACTTTCTGTGCTATTGAATGCCTGCCCACAACACTGATAACCGCAAAATCCCAAGCGCTTGCTACCATCTTTCTGTACAATATGGGAAAAAGCCTCAAACCTCACAAAACAGCATAAAAACATCACAGAACAATTTCATTTCTCACTGCGTAATCACTGAGTGCAATACCCAAACCTCTGCTGAATGGGTTGAAAAGCCAGGAAACAGATACATGGCCCACACTCCAATAAAATTACAAAGGTCTCCAAAGGGCTGGCCTGACTCACAGTGAGTGGTTTTAGGGATGGATTTGGCATGAAACAATTCATTCAGCCAGACACTAGGTAGGCAATTAAAAGCTTTCAAATCAAAGCTGTATTAAAAGTTATCAGCAATGAGTCAATGGTGAGTGATGCTCTTCTCACACCCCACCAAGGCACCAGTACAGAGCCAGTGTCTGGTCCTGAAGCCAAAGCCTAAGAAGAGGAGGAGCTATTCCTGACTACTTCTTCCTAAATATCCCGTGATGTAACCCCTCTCCCGGATGTGAAAAAGCCAATGTTTGGCAATTCTGGGAGGTAGCAACACAATAAGAAACAAAGTGCTGGAAGGAAACTTCCACATCCTCCCTTGGCAGCTGCTGCACAAAGCTTATCAGTCCTCCAGGACCAGGACCTTCTCCCTTGCCAAACATCAGCCCCGTGCCAGAAGGGGAAAGAAGTCAGACAGCACGGATCCTCTGGATGGAGCAAAAACTGGCAAGGTCTCATAATTTTATTAGCTGGCACCAAAGCCCCAAATTTCAGTACTGGCACCAACTGCCTCTGCCAGCCCAAATTTGCCAGCTCAAACATCCTTAAGAATTGACAACTTGGACCAAGCCATAGGTTTGCTGAGCTGAAGCCCCAGGAGGTGCAGCATGCAGTTGTGAGAGTTAGCAGCATGTTCGAGTTTTCTCCCACAGTACTCAAATGCAACATTTAAGCAACAAGATAAATTGGCAGCGGGGTGGGAAGTCCAAGGTGCTCAAAGGAATAATATTAGATTAGTACATACAGGCTGGGTAACACAGGGAGGGAACAAGGGTTTTCCCCATCTGCATCTCCACATTTTTTAGCTACCCAGAGCCCTACGCAGCAGGTCTAGTTGTCCTTGGAAACAACTTTTGCAAGTCCCTATCAGCACGGGCAGATAAGGAGCTGAGCTGAATAGACAGCAAACTTGCTATAAGTGGCAATTTACTCCTACAATTATAACCGGGGATGCAGGAAGCTGAGCTGTTGTTGCTTGGCTTTTATGGCTTCATGGAAAAGCAGGGAAGGAGCTGATACACAAAACAGCTCTTTTTTCAGTGTCTGTGCTGGTGTTTGGCTGCCTAGCTGTACAACACAGCTGATAAAGCTGTTTACAGGGCATCTGAGTGGCAGCATTTGTACCTTTGGTTAAATAACAAGATCCAGCTGATCCCACCAAGGGCTGCAGCTGAAATCTGGTCTCTTGCTGCTGCATCACAGTGTAAAATCATGTTGAACTGCTCTGGCAAAAGTTTTCTTTTAGGTCTTTAATAACTGTCAAACCCCCGTTCGGCTGGCTCGGTGCACTTCTGATGCCATCTTGCTTGCTTGCCCACCTTGGAAAGCTGGATTCAATCAAAAAGATGTCCAATTTCTGCACCAAGATAGACATGACAAATCAATTTATCGGAGGAGATTGCTAAGTGCAAGAAGCATATGGGGATTACACCAAGTCTGGTCCTTGTTTTGGACAGAAATGAGTTATGGTGGAGTGTCATCTTGGGTATTTTAGCTTTTACTGTGCCGCTTGCTGCTTTTCAGGGTTTAATTCAGAGACTGGGTAAGAGGTTTCATTTCTCTTTAAACCGTATTTCACTTTAACGTGGCTGGAGGTTATTTAAACACTTACAGGAATCATGAAATGTGATCTTTGGGGGTTAAAACAGTGTGTTAAATCCTCCTAATGCTTGAACTGTTTAACACAAAAAAGGACTAATAAACGTGCAAAGTTTTTCACTTGGATTAGCTCCATTTCCTGTAGAAGGTGCTCTCCACCCATAAAGAAAACTTGATGGCAGAAGGCTGAGTATGTATTATACAAAGTAAGCCAATATCTTATATTGCCACTTAACAATTCCTATTCCTTTTCATTATATTGAAGAAATCTTTAATCACATACAGAGAGGTTAAAACAACTCATGTAAGCTAACCAGAGCAAGCCCAAGAGCACGTCCTTCTGACACCTCCCCTTTTCTCTCTCCATCAGATGAGACAAACTACACGACATACAGCAGGCTGCCTACAACACAAAAAACTATTTCCATTTAAGAAATCTTCACCGTATATTTCACCCCATATCCGAGTCCAAATGTTTCATCAGCTGGAAGCGCTTGACACTAATGTCTTCTGCTTGTTATTTCAGGCACTGAAGGACAAATGTGTCTGCTGCAGCACAACCTGGATTTAAGCTCTGGCACCCCTTGGAGGTGAACCCACAATTGGTTTCTACTGAAAATTACAGCCTGATAAATATCATATTGTAATGGTGTGGACTCTTGAAGTGGGAAGGGGTGTCTGGGAGCACCCAGGTGGTTTGGAGGTAATGAGTCTCTAGGACGTTTCCTCTGCTTCAGAGCATCCTGTGCACAAGAGCTGGACCCCAGAGCTCAGCAAGGACCCCTAGGACATATCAGTAATTGTTCTGATATACCAGTAATTTTAGCAAAAAGCTGCTAAACTATACATTCAATGCAAACTCCAGGGAGTTTTGGGGTGACTTCCTCTTGTCCCTTGCTGCCGTCTCCCAAAAGGGAGGAAGTCTGACGGCCCCTCCTAGGAAATGGCTCATGCCAGCAAAGCCAGGTTTGGGAGAAGAACATATTGATGGTTCTTTGCAAGCTGATGAAATGGGACAAGGGTGGGATTTAAACCCTGCCCTGAGTCCTAAGCTGCTGCCTGAGATTTCCCCAGCCACCAAGCCATGCCTGCAAAGGGTTTGGAGACAACTGCCCCCTCCATGAGCTCACTGGGAAGAGCAGCACAGGTTGCCCAGGGCTCACAGGCAAACCCGATCTTGCCTGTGATACTCCAGCAGCTGCTTCCTATGTCAGTTTACCTCGACACAGGAAAACCAGCCCAGCATTGCCACAGCTTCCCCTTCCCAGCACAGCTTCCAGCTGCCAGAGGGCCAGGAGGGGGCAGCCAGCCCTGCCACTCATCCCAGCCAGGAAGCATCCGGACACCCATCCTGAGCATCCGGAGAACTATTGTCTTTCTGAAACTGCTCCTGGGATCCAGGGATGGATCGCCTGGTCCCTACTTCTGCTATAGATATTGCTGTTATCCCACCTCTCAAGCAGGAAGGCACACAGAGAGGTAAACACCCCCTTGTAAAACCACCTGGCGATGTGCGCTTGGTGTCTCAGCAAACCCACACAATACAAATTGAGGGAGACTGAGACAAGCTGCTCCATCGCTCCCTGTGTGGCCCATGGCCTTTTCTTCCCAGGGCTGCCAGTACTGCTGCCACAGGGAAGAGTGGTGGCTGCTGGGATAGGAAAAGACCACCAGGATTTGGAGAAACATAGAATCATTGGGTTGGAATAGACCTCTGAGATCATCAAGTCCAACCATTGACCCAACACCACCATGCCCACTAAATCATGTCTGAAAGCGCCACATCTACATATTTTTTGAACACCTCCAGGGACGGTGACTCTACCACCAACCTGGGCAGCCTGTTCTAATGTTTGACCACTCTTTCAGTAAAGAAATTTTTCGTAATGCCCAATCTAAACCTCCCCTGGCGCAACCTGAGACCATTTCCTCTTGTCCCATACTATACTGGAATGAAGGACACTGGACCTGTAATGCTGTTGCTGTGAGCAGGCATTACAGTAGCAGCACATGTCTGTGTACACACACACTTCTCTAGCTTCCCCCTCTGAATTTGCCAGCCCCACATAGAACATGGGTGTCAGGCAACAGCAAAACCCAACAGCTACTGCTCAGAGAGTTCATAAGACTTCATAAAAACTTCCTGACAATGCCATTTTTGTCTTGGCTCTGGAATATTGTCAATAAGTGGAAAGTACACAAATGACCTATTTTCTCCCCTTGCAAAATATAACATTAGCAAACTTAATTCCTTGCCTCCAGGGCTGCTTTACTTTTAGATCAGTTAAAAAAACCAACCCATAATCAAAAAAACCCAAACAAACAAACAAAAAGTGGTAAGCTGCAAAAATCTTGCTTTCAGGAGTTTGTACAGACACAGGAACAACCATAAGCCCCAGCCCCTCTGTTTCTATGCGAGGCAGCCACCCGACCCAGTGCCCCCAACCCTGTCTACTTTAAACATCTACATGTGTCACTTCAAGTTACAGGGCTGCACAATCAGGTCACTCTTTGGAAAGCAAATTGCATGAGAACAAGCCCAGCAGCCGAAAACAAGCAGGCATGGCCTTTGTTTGCCATTTTCTCACGAGCCCTTTTGCTACATTAAAAACTCACCACCAAACAAGGCACCCTGCCTCCCTTTGCTGGGCAGACAGCAGGTCCTCCTCCCGTGGGACAGCTTTTGGCTGGATTGTGCAGTAAGGGAA